TCTTGTGATGTTATTATGCCTTATTATACTATGTCGTTTTTTCACTTTTTTTGCCATACTATACTATGTCGTTTTTTTCACTTTCAAGGCCTTGCTCTACGATGACATCTTTATGTCTCTTATACTATGATGCTTTTTGATGTTTTCATGCCTTATTATACAATGTTTCTTTTTCACTTTTTTAGCCACACTATACTATGTCGTTTTTTGCACTTTCAAGGCCTTGCTCTACTATTTCATCTTTATATCTTTTATACGATGATGCTTTGTGATGTTTTTATGCCTTATTATACAATGTTTCTTTTTCACTTTTTTAGCCACACTATACTATGTCGTTTTTTCCACTTTTTTTGCCATACTATACTATGTCGTTTTTTCACTTTTTTAGCCATACTATTCTATGTCGTTTTTTCACTTTTTTAGCCATACTATACTATGTTGTTTTTTTTCATTTTTTTTGCTATACTATACTATGTCGTTTTTTTCACTTTTTTTGCCATACTATACTATGTCGTTTTTTTCACTTTTTTTGCCATACTATACTATGTCGTTTTTTTCACTTTTTTTGCCATACTATACTATGTCGTTTTTTTCACTTTTTTTGCCATACTATACTATGTCGTTTTTTTCACTTTTTTCGCCATACTATACTATGTTGTTTTTTTCACTTTCAAGGTCTTGCTATACTATACCGTGTCTATAACATGTTATAATATGATATTTTTTGATGTCTTTATACCTTATTAGACTATGTCGTTTTTTCACTTTTTTCGCCATACTATACTATGTTGTTTTTTCACTTTTTGTGCCATACTATACTATGACACCTTAATACCTTATCATACTATGCCGTCTCTATACCTCATAATACTATGTCATTTTTTATGTTTTTATTCCTTATTACACTATGTTGTTTTTTTTCACTTTTTTTGCCATACTATACTTTGTCATTTTTTTTTACTTTTTATGCCATACTATACACTATGTCATTTTTTTCACTTTCAAGGCCTTGCTCTACTATGACATCTTTATGTCTTTTATACTATGATGCTTTTTGATGTTTTTATGCCTTATTATACAATGTCGTTTTTTTCACTTTTTTCGCCATACTATACTATGTCGTTTTTTTCACTTTTTTTGCCATACTATACTATGTCATTTTTTTCACTTTCAAGGTCTTGCTCTACTATGGCATCTTTATATCTTTTATATTATGATGCTTTGTGATGTTATTATGCCTTATTATACAATGTCGTTTTTTTCACTTTTTTTTGCCATACTATACTATGTCGTTTTTATCACTTTCAAGGCCTTTCTATACTATACCGTGTCTATAACATGTTATAATATGATATTTTTTGATGTCTTTATACCTTATTAGACTATGTCGTTTTTTCACTTTTTTCGCCATACTATACTATGTCGTTTTTTCACTTTTTGTGCCATACTATACTATGACACCTTAATACCTTATCATACTGTGCCGTCTCTATACCTCATAATACTATGTCATTTTTTATGTTTTTATACCTTATTACACAATGTTGTTTTTTTTCACTTTTTTTGCCATACTATACTATGTCGTTTCTTTCACTTTCAATGCCTTGCTATACTATACCGTGTCTATAACATGTTATAATATGATATTTTTTGATGTCTTTATACCTTATTAGACTATGTCGTTTTTTCACTTTTTTCGCCATACTCTACTATGTCGTTTTTTCACTTTTTGTGCCATACTATACTATGACACCTTAATACCTTATCATACTATGACGTCTCTATACCTCATAATACTATGTCATTTTTTATGTTTTTATACCTTATTACACAATGTTGTTTTTTTTCACTTTTTTTGCCATACTATACTATGTCATTTTTTTTTACTTTTATTGCCATACTATATACTATGTCGTTTTTTTCACTTTTTTGCCATACTATACTTTGTCATTTTTTTTAACTTTTTTTGCAATACCATATACTATGTCGTATTTTCCACTTTTTTTGCCATACTATACTATGTTGTTTTTTTCACTTTTTTTGCCATACTATACTTTGTCATTTTTTTTTACTTTTTATGCCATACTATACACTATGTCGTTTTTTCCACTTTTTTAGCCATACTATACTATGTCGTTTTTTCCACTTTTTTTGCCATACTATACTATGTTGTTTTTTTCACTTTTTTTGCCATACTATACTATGTTGTTTTTTTCACTTTTTTTGCCATACTATACTATGTTGTTTTTTTCACTTTTTTTGCCATACTATACTATGTTGTTTTTTTCACTTTTTTTGCCATACTATACTATGTTGTTTTTTTCACTTTTTTTGCCATACTATACTATGTCATTTTTTTCACTTTCAAGGTCTTGCTCTACTATGGCATCTTTATATCTTTTATATTATGATGCTTTGTGATGTTATTATGCCTTATTATACAATGTCGTTTTTTTCACTTTTTTTTGCCATACTATACTATGTCGTTTTTATCACTTTCAAGGCCTTTCTATACTATACCGTGTCTATAACATGTTATAACATGATATTTTTTGATGTTTTTATACCTAACTACACTATGTCGTTTTTTCACTTTTTTCGCCATACTATACTATGTCGTTTTTTCACTTTTTGTGCCATACTATACTATGACACCTTAATACCTTATAATACTATGCCGTCTCTATACCTCATAATACTATGTCATTTTTTATGTTTTTATACCTAATTACACTATGTCGTTTTTTTCACTTTCAAGGCCTTGCTCTACTATGACATCTTTAAAACTTTTATACTATTATGCTTTGTGATGTTAATATACCTTATTATACAATGTTTTTTTTCACTTTTTTAGCCATACTATACAATTTTGTTTCTTTCACTTTTTTTGCCATACTATACTATGTCATTTTTTTCACTTTCAAGGTCTTGATATACTATACCGGCTCTATAACATGTTATAATATGACATTTTTTGATGTTTTTATACCTTATTACACTATGTAGTTTTTTCACTTTTTTCGCTATACTATATTATGTCGTTTTTTTCACTTTTTGTGCCATACTATACTATGACACCTTAATACCTTATTATACTATGCCATCTCTATACCTTATAATAATATGTCATTTTTGATGTTTTTATACCTTATTACACTATGTCGTTTTTTTCACTTTTTTCGCCATACTATACTATGCCATTTTTTTTTTACTTTTTTGCCATACTATACTTTGTCATTTTTTCACTTTTAAGGCCTTGCTATACTATGACATCTTTATATCTTATTATACTATGACATTTTTTGATGTTTTTATGCCTTATTATACTATGTCGTTTTCTTCACTTTTTTTTGCCATACTATAGTATGCTGTTTTTTTCACTTTCAAGACCTTGCTATACTATACCGCCTCTATAACATGTTATAATATGACATTTTTTGATGTTTTTATACCGTATTACACTATGTTGTTTTTTCACTTTTTTTTGCCATACTATACTATGTTGTTTTTTTTCACTTTTTTTGCCATACTATACTATGTCGTTTTTTTCACTTTTTTTGCCATACTATAACTATGTCGTTTTTTTCACTTTCAAGGCCTTGCTCTACTATGACATCTTTATATCTTTTATACTATGATGCTTTGTGATGTTATTATGCCTTATTATACCATGTTTTTTTTTTCACTTTTTTGCCACATACTATGTTGTTTTTTTGACTTTTTTTGCATTAAAAGTCATAGTATTTTATGTCATGTCAAAACACTTCCTAGTATAGAATGGCACTTCCTAGTATAGAATGGCATAAAAATGTCAAAAAACGTCATGGTATAGTATGTCATAAAAATGTCTGTGTATAATAAGGTATAAAAATATCAATAAACAAAACAGTATAGTATGGCCTAAAAATGTGAAAAATTGTCATAGTCTAGAAAGGCATCAAAATGTGAAAAAATGTAACAGTATAGTACGGCATAAAAATGTCAGAAAACATCATAGTGTAATATGTCAAAAAAAATGTCAGAGTATAGTATGGAATAAACATCTTAAAAAAAAAACGCCGTAGTATAGGATCTCATAAAAAGTCATAGTATGCTAATGTCAAAAAACATCATAGTACTGTCAGGCATAAAATGTCATATGTTAAAAAAACTGTTAGTCATAAAACCTTCATAGCATTGTATGTCATAAAAAGTTTTAAAAAACCTAATAGTATAGGAAAGTTTAAAAATATAAAAAGAATGTCATAATATACAGCATATAACATAAAAATGTTAGAGTATAGTAAGGCATAAAAATTTCATGGTGTAGTTAGGCTTAAAAATATCATATAAATGGAGTACCTGGAGAGAACCCATGCAGGCAAAGTGAGAGCATGCAAAGTCCACACAGAAAGTCCCCACGTCTAGATTTTAAACCTAGAACCTTTTCAGTTTGAGGCAACAGTTCAAACCACAGTTCCCCATGTCGCCATATCACAAATTCATAGTATATAGTATATAGGACTAAAAACATCATAGTATATAAGCCATAAAAAGTCATAGTATAGTAAGGCATTAAAGTCGCCAATTAACCCATTCTGCATATTCTTTGGATTAATCATGACACAATTTAACACAAATGTCTAACTGGATGAGATAATGACGTGATAACATTTTATATCAAAAATGTCAACAGGCAACTTCACTGTGACATCATAATGTTCTTCAAAAACACTCCTGGCCTTTATTCAATACTGTCACTCAGGAAGGGGAGATTTTGACCATATTTCCTGCAAATTGACTGGTTGGTGGAGGCATACAACCAAAGTGGTAATTCTAGTTATTGTTTTGATTGAGAGCCCCTCAGTGGCAGAAGTTTATATATTGTGCTTTTTTTTCAAAATGGAGGACGAGAGAGGGAGGAGAGACAAGTTGTGTGTTTCTTGTGTTTGGAGGAGGGACTCCTCATTTCAATAAAGATCATTTAGAGAAGTGAGAAGTTCCTGGTTCATCAGTGAAGAATGAAGAAAGGCAACATTACATCATCAGAGCGTCAGACATGAACATCCATCACACTCTGATCTGCTTCTTTCTCAGTGAGTAGACTCATTTTCATTCACTCTTTTTACCACTTAATTTTTCTTAAGAGTTATCATTAAGCCTCCATTCAGTTTTTCGCCATTTTTATCGGTCTCTGTCTTTTATGTTAGTTTCTGTGGTCAAAAATGATGTTCAGAGTTCGAGATGAGTCACTGGTTTATCTCCTTTAGAGAAGTTGTAGGATTCACTCAAACATTTGCATTTCAGCCCAACAATCAGCAAATTACATTTTTTGTATCTGTCTCACTTTACTTTTTCCCAGAAATAATCTTAATTTTGTATCTGCAATCAAACCTCCCTCCTCCTCTGCTTGTTTTGTAGGTTATATATTTGCATTTTGTTGCATTCATAGTGTCGATGAACAGTTAGAATTGTCTTGCATCAGCGTGATTGTGACCGACTTCTGGTTTCACACAGGAAATTCTCTCTAATAGATTTTGCAAAAAGAATACGTTAGCTGATAGTTGCAGCCAAAGAGACAATGCCTTGTGGTCAAACTGAGAGCTTTGCATGTGAAGCAACACATCAAATCCTCATTTCACATGAAAAGATGCAATGAACTGATGATGAACTCATGACATAAGAAACAAAAATAAAACAACTTCCATCCTGGTGCTGAGTGTCAGACTGGTCTGGTATAAGTGGGATCAAAGAATAGGATGTCATCTTCCTACATAGTTAGCTACCTGGATAAATTCATGAAAAACAACAAAAATGTTAACAAGCTTGGATCAGACAGATGCAGCTGTACTGGTTGGAAGTCGACTTGTCTTACATTGTATATTTTTTCATTTTTTTGTTTAATTGGAAAGATTTTGATTTAATTAATCTTATTTTGCATTATGACATTTTATTCTAACATTTAACAGAATAAATGTTGTGTGGTGACTGAATAAGTTCAGTTTATATTACAGATGTGAAGCCCTGACTGTCTAAATTTCTGTTTCTGTGAGTCCCTGTTCAGACTGTGAAGGCTACAGGAAACTGTCCTTTACTGCAACTTGTTGTCACTGCCCCCTGCTGCCCCCACCTGCTCTTGTGTGCACTCTAGGCGAGGTGCAGTTCATCTCGACCGAGTCTGATTATCAGACTAAACCTGCTGGTCAATAAAATTCAGTTTTATCTAGGGCTGCACAATTTATCAAAATACAGTTGAAATCGCAATATGGTCAAGTGCAATATCCAAATCGCAGGACCTGCAATTTTTTTGATAGAATGTCAATGTTGTTCTGCATTGATAGCACCATGAGTGTTGTGGTGCTACAGACGCCCTGGTCTACAAATCATGTTCTCCACATGTAAGGGGAACATGTTTCTTTGGTTCAAGACCCAACAAAAATCACATTATCATTTTTATATTTTTTTTCAGTGAGAATAAAATGCAAAAACAACAATTCTAACTGAAATCACAATATCTGCTAAAATTATTGCAATACGATTTTTTTTGCATATCATGCAGCTCAAGTTTTATCAAACTCTGGAATCAGTTTATTGCCTTTTTAAAATTTGCTTGAGTCTTACTTTAGGAATTGAAGACATTAATTACTGTTAAAATCTGAATCTTTTTGACGACATCAAAACTGAATCAAATTGTGTTGGACTGTGGTGGAAGTAGGAAGCTCCCACTGTGACTGTGTAAATGTGAAGCAGGAATTATTATCATTGGTCGCAGTATCTTATTGGAAAATAAGAAATGATTGTTCATCTCTTTAACAGTGCTGCAGGATGTTAAGACTGGGCTCATTAATGCAGAAACACGCATCTATACAGGAACTGAAGGAGGAAACATCAAAGTCTCATGCTCGTTTTTCTTGCATGGAAATACGAAGATCTTATGTAAGGACAAATGTGAAAAAAAAGAAGACATTCTCCTTGAAACAACAGAAGACAGAGCTGAGAGAGGCAGATACAGGATTGAATATAAAAGAGGAGCTTTTACAGAAAGAGCAACTCTGTATGTGAGCATCACACAGCTGAACATGTCTGACTCTGGACGGTACTGGTGTGGTTTGGAAAGATTTGGTCCAGATGGACACGACGAGTTTGAGATCAGAGTCATAGAAGGTGAGTTTCTACTGAAATTATAGAAATGTTCCCTCATGTCTCTGCAGGTGTGAAGAAACTTTCACTGTTCCCTGACAGCTACTTATGTTTCTAATAACCTGATATGATAAAAAAAACTTAGTGCTGCTTATTTTCATCACTGTGAACACTGGTTAAAGCTCAGTATAACAATGAGTTACTCACATGCAGACACACGGGTTTATCTGAATATTAATGAACTAGACAGTTAACCTACTTAACCCAGTGTTGTAATGATTAAAAAGTGTTTACCTGTTTGAAGATGACTGAGTCATTTCACTGAAATTTAGTTTTCAGCCTGTAACATCAGGAGGAAAACATCCTGTCATCCCGATTTATCTGTATCAGTTACTGATTGTTTGATCATGATTCATTGTTAACAGCTTCAACTACTTCAAAACCAAACTTGACTCTACGACCGTTGTCAACTTCACTCCCACCATCCTCCACATCCTCCACACTGACAACGACAACACAGAGTTCAGGCTCCAGTGTAGGAAGCCCCACACATTCATCAGCCTCTGAAACCAACAATCAGCCTGAGACATCACCTGCAGATTCAGGTATGTTACATATTCAAAGGTGTCTCTCTTAATAAATGTACTGGTTCTCATGCAGCACAAAAGCATGAACATGAGCTTCAGTGGCTGTTGCTATAGATACCAGCCATGTGTACTGTCTAACCATCACTCCACCACTCTAACACCACACTGTAGAAATACTGTGATACAAGAAAAAGTACAACAAAAGTATCAGGATCAACATGTACTTAAAACATTAAAAGTTAATATACTCATGATGCAGAATAATGTTTATTATATCATTAGATTGTAATATTTAATTCATTAATGTGCCCATCACTAATTTTGTAAGCTGTACTTAAGCACATATCTCTTTTCTGTTTGTTGAACAGGTGGTTTGTAAAGTTCTTATTGGCCTTTTACTTTTTGTTGTACTTATAGTAAACGCTACCTTTAGGAGAAACTCCAGCAACTGGAGATGAGGTGAATTACTCTGTAACATGAACACTGTATTTCTACTGTTCACGGCTCTACCGATGCAGCTCCTTGCACTGTTTTAACCCAGAGCTGTTTTTCGTGTGAATGCCGGATTAGTTCTGAGATAGCCTGAGCATGGAGGGAAGTAAGTCTCAGATTTGTTTAATAAGTCAAATGCAAGTTGCACAAAAATAAAGGCCTGGCACAACGCTACACTACAAGCCGGTCGAAAAATATCTTTGTGGAACTGGCCCCTGGTCAAACCACAGCAGTAAAATAGTGTGATGCAGAGAAGAAGTGAAACTTTCTGTCATTTCCCTCTCTGAAAGCCTCCACACCCATGTTTAATGAGCATTACCAGTTTCTGTTCTTCCCTGTCCAAAGTCTTTTCATAATGAGATGATTTCTCGTGACCGAGAGATGGAAAAGTATACAAATCAGACCAACAAGTTAACACTTCAATTTGGCTGGTTTATTCGTGCATGAAGGACAGATCTGATGTAGGATACATCAAGACTCTCACTGAATGACAGAACTTGAGCTGCTTATATCGTATGTTGTTCTGGGTGTTGTAACTAACATCTGTTAACCTTGAGACCTTTACCTCTGTGTTTCACTTTTATTGCTTACCTCCTCCTAAAAGGGTGTGCATCACTAAATCTCTGCGGGATGTAGATAAACTCCTAAACAACAATATAACCATAAAACCCAGATATGTAATGGATCCCTTGACATCCTGCTCCCCCAAAGGTCAGCAGCTTACCTAACATCCTTAAACCAAAGTTACCAACATGCAAAACAAATACAACCTTACACTTAGTTAAGTATTAATGTGTTTGTCAGTTTAACACTGAGTTAGACTTATTTCACCAGTGAAAGTTAGCAACTATAACATGTAATGCTGGTATGATTACCTATAGATTTATATACCTGAGGTACTGACTGAGAAAGATGGTTAAATTGTAAACCAGGTCTGTTATTAAAAATACTGATTTGAATGGTGGATGGCAGGATATTTGTTTTTGTGCATGTGTAAGTTAATATGTTGTTTATATGCAAGAACATAGAAGAGTGTGCTTGGAGGTATAGAACTTATATTGATCGTTTAAAATATATTTTTTGTTATAAATTTGAAAAAACTTGAATTAATGATTTAAATATTGGTACCACTTTACAATAAGACTACGTCTATAAAGGATTTATGAATGGTTTATAACTAGTTTATTAATTAGCTTGTTAACACTTTAGAAATCATTTATAAGCTGTTATAACACATCAGATAAAAACAGCAATGACCTGTTGCTTGCCAAATTGTGAGCCCACATGTATCTGTACTGTTAAAGCCTCATATCTCTTTAGTTACTGAGATTGCTTTGTTTTCTCCATTATCCAGCATGCATATCCAAACATTTATAACTGGTAAAAGGGAGTTTTATTGTAAAGTGTAAAACACATCATCATTTATTAACCAGTTACAATGAGGCTCCTTTCACCAGTTATAAATGGTAGTAACTCATTAGTAAGATTAATGAGTAGTAAGCATTAACTTGAGCTTGCCAAATAGTGAGCCTACATCAATGTATGAAAATTGCGTTATAACTTGTTTATAATTCTTTATTTATGATTTACAAAGTGTTAACAACCTAATTATAAACTAATTATAAACCATATAGTGGTACCTAAATATTTAGTTGATGTTACTATTATTTTGACAGCATGAACAGACCGTCAGGTCCTTTTTATTTCTTGGAGTCCAGGCTCCCAAAAACACTGTATTTTATAATGAACCTACGTCAGAATTAAACAAACTTCTACCACCACAGCTGTGCAGCTGTATGTGGGCCTGGTCCTGGTTTTCATGATCACCGTATTATCAGTGGCTGTGCTAATATTCTGCAGGAACAGGGCTAGTAAACCCAGAGGTAAGGCTACAGGACACGCACGCACGCACGCACGCACGCATATTCTCGTAGTTCACAGATCAAGGTGTTCAAATGTGCACTGCCACAAAATTAACATAATGGCTGGTTCAGTATTTCTGATTATGTTGTTCTCTGAATGTTTATATGAGAAATGTCTCCAGACCGCTGTGATGAGACAGATGTATGTAAGATTAATGTGACAATCTGATCTATTTCAAATCTTGTGAACTGTGTTTTTTCAGGACCTCCTTTGGAAACTGCGTATGCTAAGGTCACAAAGGTGAGTTTGAGTACATTTGTTGACATTTCAGCATCATTACTGTTTGTGAAACAATCTGATGTAGATACAAACCAAATCCTCTTCCTCCTCCTGCAGGACGACCGAGTGTATGAGGAGGTGAGAGAGGAGAACGGACAGAGCAGGGCTCCTCCTGTGGAAGTGTTTACGGTTTACGCCTGCACCAAATACACCAAACCAAACGCAGTCGAAACCACAGATGACTACAGCTTGGTGAGTGCCACTGCAGCCATGTCTCGGAACCAAGTAAGGAAAACCTGTAGCAGGATCTTTATCTTTGGGATCAGAAAAGAGTTCATTAAAATTTGATCCAATAGAATAATCCTAGACCTAAAGATGGCTGTTGTGTATACTATCCAAATATAGCATTTAGATCCAGAGTTTGTGGTGTGGCCTGTGAAAAAAAAATGAAAATTCAACTTTACTGTAGTGCAGGCCAAAAATAACTTATTGCCTCCAGGAAATAGCCACATGTTGCACTTTATAGTCCAAGCTTTTGCCTTCTCGGCTTTTATATGTTACCAAACTAACTGCAAGCTTTAATCAGTACTGGTAGTGGTAGAGGGGCTGACTGAACAAATCCTCCAACCATACATCGTCTCTTTCAACTCTCTGATAACACCCAGAAGAGTGTCCCCTGAAATAGCCCCTATGGCAGCAGGTGTACCAGACCTTTGTTGTCATAGTCACAATAATAAACATGCTGACTGTACCATTAAAGTTGTCATTTTGACATTTAAGGTGTATTGATTGATTTCCAAACATCAATCATGCATTGAGTGACACAAGGACACATTCCACATTCAAAGTTGCCAGTATCGGCAGGTGATATTCTCAACATGATGAAACTGTTCATAAAGTCGGTCTAACATTTGATTATGTCCTCATGGTTGACTGGTCTTTGTAAACTTGCCACCATAGGAACAGTGGTAACATAACCTTCGAAACTAGCCACAACTTAACGATGCAGCTCGTGTGAAAAATAGAATCCTGAACCTCTAGATCATGCAACACAGCTGCAACGCTCACGTGACGCATCCAGTGTGTTCCTGGCCTCAGAGCCTCAAGCAAGTCATGAATGACCTCTGGTGAAAGGGCATCTTGTAACGTAAAATAACAGATGGCACTGATGCAGCCAGGTCACTTTATTTATAGCTAAATTATTATTAATTGTTAAATGTTCTTTTTGATATGGGCCACGGTCAAACCTATCAAAACAACAAGAACAAAACATAAAATATGCCTCTGCACGTGCATGTGTAATCCCACGTTCAAATAATGCTCGTCTGACAAAACAGGAGAAAACTCTAAAACCATCTGACTGCAGCAGTGGGGGCTTCCTGTCCAGACAACAGGAAGTGTGTGTTTGTGGCTTTCCTGAGTCTTAGCCAGCACACAACATGCTGTTGAAATTGTGTAGTTTTCTGGTGAGCAAACAATGTAGTTTTTACTGTTTCTAAATGACTTGTTTGGCAACTTCTGTGGTGAAAATTGCTTCATTAAAGTCTCAGCACTCTGGAAATAACACACAAGATCCATTAGATCCATGTTAGAACTATGTGCACAAGTTAAAAAAAGTAATCTTTTGGGATTCTTTGAGACTCTGTAGGTTGTGTATAAAGATAAGAATATTCAATTTTAATTTGAAAGCTTTAAAGGAGCTATTTGTAAGTTTTGCTATTGTAACATAGCCAGTGTTAGCATTAGCAGCTGTTTAGTTACCAGTTAAGAAGAAATATGAGTTCTTTCATTCCTTTACGCACCAAGAGCTGTCTCTAGCAGTGGAAAGCAACCCTTTTGTTTTGCTTCTATTTCTCTCATTTCTCTTTTTTTACTGACATTTGCATGCTAACCAGCTAGCACCTGCCTTATCAGACTGTCTCAACACTTTCTGATATTGAGTCACTGTAGCCGCCAATCTCCCCTGAAGAAACAGGGCTGTAAGAGGACGTATTATATCCTCTTGTCTTGTAAATGCAACAATGGCTGAAGCTCTTGTCTAGACTGGTAAATAAAGACCTGTTAACGCAAACATTGGCTATGTAGCAATAGCAAACTTACAGCTCCTTTAAGATGTCATTAAGACTAAATCAGTAAGTCAGCGATCATTTTTGTCTTTGCTTTCTTTCAGGCTGAAGACAGTGAAGTCACCTACTCTAACTTACATTTTCCCAACGCTGCAGCCACCTTGCTCCACAGGGCCCCCTCTGGTAATGCTGATAATGGTGTCTACTCTGTACCTCGTGTCGAAGTGAATTCTGCCAGCCACGCCAACGATGCTTCCACTCTGTATTCTACTGTCACTTTACATTAGCAGTCGGCACATTCGCTTTCTCAGGGGCCAACAGGTGAACACAGTGTACTTTTTAATGAGTTAATATTCAAGTTACATCAGTTATAATTTGGGATTCATACTGTCTCCGTTACTTAGGAAAATCCAGACTTCACTGTCAACAGTTTTCATTTACAACTTGCAAAGTATGACTGGCAGCCGCTGTATAATTGTGAAGACTCACTGAAAACAGCTGATATGAAGTGAAGTTCAGTCCTGTTCATTTTCTCTGGGACACAAGAGAATAACTTCTCTCACAGGTGACATGAAAAAATGTAACTGCACATGAAGGGTGACATTTCCCTGGAGGCTCTGTAGTTGGGGTTTACTTTTTCAAGTGCAGATAAAAATCAGGGAAGGACATGACAATTATTGTAGGTATTTGTTTTGTATGTTCCTGACTCATAGATCACAGATATGAACAAAAACAGAGTGGTGCTGAAAGCTGTCCGCATGGGTTGAGTCTAGGGAAGTTTTTTTTTTTTTTTTTTTAATAATTTAAGTGAAGTCAGACTATTTCTTCTGTTATTTAAATTATTTTGGTATTTGGGTTAAGTAAACAGTTAGCTATTTCTGTTATAGCTAATTGCTTATTAATTGTTCTTGGTAAAACAAATGTCAGTAGGTGACCAAGAGGTGGTTGTCCACTATCTGAAAATGTTGTAAGGAAACTGCAAACAGTTCTAGCTAATGGGAAAAAGTTAACATGTATATTATATGTATTCGTTTTAAAATGCTAAGAGTGGAGATGAGACATTTCTATTAGATTGTTTATTGCGTCTGAACAAATGTATCTATTTTGTTACTGCTGTTTTATACTGTATATATGCTACTTGAAAAATATTTTAAATCCCTTTTTAAAAATTATAGTCGTTTTTAATGGTAGTAAAATAAATATCCATTATGTAACTAGTGATGGCGAAATGGGGCTTAGATTCAGATTAACCAGTCGAGCCTCAATTTAAAGTTTTTACTAGTGCCACATCTGGTAAAAACAATTAAGAGCAGCTAAATCATAATGTCCTCTGAGGGTTTTTTTGTTCCAGTATTCAAGCTGATATAAATAAAAACAAAAGAATAAAACATCAGATTTGAAAGTGATTTTACTTCACATTTTACAGCCTGAAAAATTTGTTGAAAAAAAATGTTATGTCTGAGAAACAAGTCACAAACTCAGTAATCATGAAAAGATGAAGTATAAAAATAGTAATACAAATATTCATTTTAAAAAGTAGTAAGAGTAAAATGCCCTTTACTGTCCTACGGAAACAAAGCCTTTTGAACCATGGGTTGAAATGATCTTGTTACTCTGCTGAAACCAAGGGCTCGTGATTCTCAGAAAAATACAAAACAAGATGTGACATGAAGCTTCAGTGGTAACTACTGTAAAATATTCAACCATATTTCAGCTCCCTGTAATTTGCAATCATTATTTTTTATTTGGGTAAGGGTTTTATATACATATATATTTTTTTTCGGGATAACAATTAAAAATCCAAATTAAACTCCTTCCACAATGTTAATTAAACCATATTTCAGCTCCCTGTATATTATTTTTTATTTGGGTTGGGGTTATATATTTTTTTTTTTTTTTTTTTTTTCTGGAAGGGGGGGGGGGGGATTAAAAATCCAAACTAAACTCCTTCCACGTTGTTTAGGCACAAACACCACCAGCCTGAGGCTAATTAAATAAAATTTGGTAAAATAATCCAGAGAAATACCAGAGAAGCAGTAAATTACATATTTTTAATGAAAATAAATTTGACATGAATTGAACATTGGCAGTTTAAACAGTATATGGTCTTTATCTTTTACAAAATATTTCTATAAATACTTTCATCTGCTTCTCCTCCAATCTTGAATATCCACCTGTCCTGCCGTGTGAGTCACTACAGCTGTTTTCACTGTAGCTACTACCAGACACTGCAAGACACTGGCTGATATCGCTGAAGATGAACTTCATGCTACAAAATATATTAACAAGTTAACCCCATACAACATGACATTAATGTCTGGTTTTCCATCAGGATCACTACATGTGTTCAAAACAAATGTGGCAACAAGAACTGAACCCAAAACAACATAAATAATATTAACACAGATTTATGCCATGTGATGCCTTGACTGCAACGCTGCTGGTCCATGTTGTCGATTAAAAAAAAACAAACAAACAAAAACACAATACAAAAATCTAATTAACTTAAATGAAAAAACAATAATTACAACAATAATTATAAATGGAAGACAAACACTTGGTAAATATTTCCCTTTACAGCCTTTACAGTGCTCAAAGAACAATAAAATAACAATCACTTGATACAAAACCTAAAAACAACATGTGCATGTGAGGTTTAAATAAAGGAGTGTCAGGTAAGAATTAACACTGTGGCACATTAAAGGTAAACGCACTGAGGAGGAGGAGGATGAAGGTCAGCTGACAGAATAAAAGCTGCATAGAATCAATATCACAAATCTCTAATGTAGAGAATACGACTTTGGAAGATCGCGCGCCATTTCTACTCTCAAGCAGAGTCTTATATCTATCATGTTGTCTGTTGAAGTGCTTCGTTTACTGTCCTTAAAGGAATGTTTATTTCCATAGTATACTTTTCCTTTCAGGAACAGTTTCAATATACGACTCTTCTCTGAAGTGTCTCAGTGCAAACTGTGGAGCATGGATTCTTCTTCACCACAGAGCAGGAGACAAAAAACCTGAACTCATTGAAACTAAAGTTCTGCGTGGACCTAAAACTGAAAGCTGAACCCGTTTTTAAAGAACCATGCCAGCGTTTCTGAAAGTACAAATTATGTACAATTTATACATGTACCGACCATTTTCCAACATGTGCTGTAGAATTCTGAACGTGTATTATCGTTCCTTTCAAGCTAGTTTACTTTCTGTATGGTATAAAAATCAACTTCAAACAAGTGAACACTGAGTCTACATTATGTTTCCTTCAGGGTTAAATTATTGTTACATGGTAATGCAGCTTAGTCCAGACTGATATGAAACATCTGCATTGTGTAACAGTTAAAACAGTTACATAGCTTATATTAAAAAAAACCCAGTAGGCTTGATGTTCATTGTGAACAAGTTTCATGGGTTTTGATTTTCATACCATACTAAAATGAATGGAAAACAATAGTCGCACGGAAGATGAGTGCTCATGATTTGTGGTAAATAGACTTAACGTGAAAAATTACCGGCATGTTTCTTAAAGACTCAAACACCACTTTCTTCATTTTTTCACTCTAAAGGTTACTCAGGGGAGCTGTTTTCTTCTTTGAATTAACAGTCTAAGGACACTGTGTGATTGTAAACCCCACTGAAGCAAATCTGTGGGGTTGGGCTATACACATAATATTGACTTGACTTGGCTGAACCTTGGACTGGGTGTTTTGAACGTCAAACTTTTATGAACGAACTGAATTGGTTTGATATCATCGAGGAAAAATGCCTTGTCATTCGATACCAAATCTATCGAAATCAAGCTATCTGTATCAGTACTTATATTGAAAAATTTTGAACAATACCCAGCCCCAGCTGAACCTGACCCAAGGCATTGTTTGTGCCAGGAAAATTATGTTTTTGATCTATTACTGTCCATTAGCTCTGCAGGCTAATATAACATGCTGGCTCCACACTGTTTCCCTCTTTGATATATTAAAGCTTTACGGAACAAAACCTGAACCTTAAAACTGATACCTGGACACACTCGGGTCACGTAGCAGAAGTCTAGTCCAAACACCATCAGCTCTCCTGCTCTAATGTCCAAGTACAGACGAACCCGACTCCAACGTACAACAGAGTCCCTTTAACACAGGAGACGAAAATAACATCTGTGGAAGAGCATTGATGTGAAACCTCAAGATGAAGAATCACATTTTTCCTTTTTTAAACCGAAGCTTAACTCGTTTTCAACTAAATTATTTTGTGCGATGATGCTTTGCATCATGTACGGGTTCACTGTGTTTGAAAATCAGATGATTTAAAACATGATTCTTCATCTGGAGGATTATTAGTAATAAATTAATTTCAGTGACTCAATCGGTTCTCAATATACAATAGTACAATAAGATACTTCACATGTAGAAAAATATCATTACGCTTGTTACTTAATGATAAAATAAAGATTCAGGATTGTGAAGCAAAAAGGCAAAGTGCAAAAACATCAGAGGCTCTACAGAGAATGTTTGTGCTGCCTGAAACCAAAGGTTTTAAAAGAAACTACTTAATGTTCTTGGATAAAGCAGGTAACATGTTTTTTTTTTTTTTGTTTTTTTGTTTTTTTTACTTAAATGCTGTAACACGGAGAAAAACCAGTCACAAACATCCTGTTAGAGGCCTCTGTTTGGTTAAATGTTCATCGCTTTATGATACAGTGAAAACAGAATAAATAATAGGCTATTTGAGTGACAGGTTGTTTTTTTTCTCAGGTAGTTCATGAACAGAAAGGTCTTTTTGGTAGTTATGACGCTCCTTCACAGTGCAAACAGTAGCCACTGTGACTTTCTTCTATTAAATACGAATAATGTCTTTACAGTCCACCTGAACATGTTGGCAACAGCCAGTCCAACAAGCATTGAAATCGTTTCCCCGCCAGAGGTATAAAACCCAAAGATAATTAGTTTGTTATCATATTAGATGAAGGAAACCAGCAACATTAACTTCTGAAGAGCTAGCATTGGTGAATTTGGGGTATATTTGCCTGAACAAATGACAAACTAATTCACTGACTTTGCTGATATCTTAAATTCATCTACTTGTGTCTTATTTGCCGACTGATTTTTGAACTCTGATATAAAATGTCAGCAACCAAACCAGCCTGCCTCTGCTGTAATGTGACGTCTGAGTTGTGTTTCATGGGCCACAGGACTGAATTCAACACAGCATCATAATATCCACCTCTATGGGACGTTAAAATCACAGATTGTGTCCCCAGTGGTTTTCAGGTCACATCTGAAGGAGCTGTTGGAACAAGTCAGGCTTTGTCAACCTGCTTCAACATTTTTCAACGCTAAAATGCAGATCATAACGGACACGGGCTCTCGCAATAGGACACAGTGTTTGTGACCTCAAAGAACACAGGATGGAGAAGGACACTAATTTCCCAGGATGCCACAGTGATATTTCCCCGAAAAGACCTTTGTCGGTCACAAGACGCTCGTCACTGCGGCACAGACGATGACGTCAGTGTTGTTTTCCTCCATTTTAGTGTGATTTGAAGATTTTTCCCTCATGATCAGTGTTTCTACAAAGGGTGCACTGCTTTCCTGTGACCACCAGAGTGAGCAGCAGACTGCCGATTGCTCAGGAGGAAGGACGACAACAGGAGAACAAGACGGAGGTCAAAATAAAGAGGAGGAGTGAAGATTAAGTGGATGTCTTGAATCCCAGAATCCAAGGGGGAACACTCTTGTGGACAGAAGTCTCCTCTTCCTGACCAACTACACTTAAGGTGCCCTCAGGCAAGGCACTTAAACGCCTCAACTATCTCCAGTGGAGCTTCTGACAGCAGCTCAGCGTGTGAATGATGTTGAGAAATGTCACAGAAACACAGTGAAAAGGATGAGATCACACCGAGAAAAGTACGAGCTACATAAGGAACTGCTGTCACCACTGTGCTGAAACAATTTCCCTTCATGGCTTGAAACGCAATAATAAGACGACATAATGTAGGGCCTTAAATTACATTTCATATTATACTGCAGGGATTTTAGAGAGGAGCATTCAAGTTGCTAAACAGCTTTACAAAAACTCCAATTTAACCAAAACTATCTAAACCTTCATACAAGTTCAAGTTTCAGCAAACAAATAATAAGAGCTGCGTTAAGCCTCCATGACTAAAATCTCTCCTGAGAGCTGGTGTTTTGAGTTTTGTTTTTTTTTTAACAGCCAAAGATGTGAAAATAAGGTTAAAATAAGTGCAGAGTTTTCTCGAAGCGAGTCATGACTTTGAGGGGTTGTGATGGGTTTGACCTGTGGTGGTTTCCATGGTGCTGCTGAACCCTCAATCACAGTGTGTCGTCACTTTGGTGCTTGAGGGAGGAAAGAAAGCGATGTTGCTCTCTGGGCTGTTGAGCCAGGCATCACCTGGCCCCACTGTCGTACCACCGTCACAGTGTGGCTGAACTTTGGTGTCTGCGTTGAGAGCAGAGAGGAGGAGGACTCCTCAGTGCCTCCGAGCCAGGCATCATGAAGATCCGTCCGTCACAGTGTGGAGCTGGAAGGTGCTGCGAGTCCCTGGAGGGAGGGATGGGTGTGGCACTGCTATAACTGCTGCTGCTGCACCAGCCGTCTGTAATGTGGCATGACTTTACTCTCGGGGAGGTAGAGTGCCATCTCCAGGGCAACCAGAATGGTGAACTCGAATGAGATCAGCTCCCTCCTGCTGATCCTGAAACGCTCCTCCAGCTTCTACACAGAGACGCAACACAGGCCAAAGAGTGAGAGACGGACAAATACTTTCTGATATTTTGCTTATTGACTATTTTCTCTTTTCCTTTTCATTGGCCTAATGAAATGATGTATTTTGTAGCTTCAATGCTGAAATCCATTGGTGAGATGCATCACTTCCTGACAGTGGCCCTGAGGTGCAAGCACATCACTTTACTAGACCCAAGTCTAAGGTTTGTTTTTTTCTGATTTGCTATAAAGAAGTCCGCACAGTGTTGGTTATGCACAGTTAGTGATTTAAGACAGTCCCTTTACAACATTAAAAATTTGGGAGAGCTAATTACACTCAAGGTGGATGCTAGTTAGCCAGGCTTGCTAACGTCAGCGATGATTCCAACCAAACATTACTATTGATTGGTCACAGCGGAAAAATAAATCAAATTTATTCTTTGTGGTAATTACAGTCAAAACAGGCACCTGCTGAGTATTTGCCAACATCAACACAGTATTGAGATGACCTGATTCAAAAATATTGATTTTTCCCTATTTCACTTCAGATTGAACATGTTTTGGTTTCAAAATAAGTTGTTTGAAGGCATTACTTTAAGATCTAGTAATGTGTGATGGGAATTAACACTCTAACACTTAATCAATAAATTGATCAAATAAAAGATTATTTCCATTACAGATTCATCCATCAATTATTTTTTCCAGATGAACTGATTAATCATTTCTTCTACAAGATGTTAGAAAATAGCAAAAAAAAATGTTCATCACTGTTTTTTTATTAGCCACTTAAATGTGGTTAATAAAGAATTGTGATAAAAAAGAGAGGAACAATTTACTGTTGAAAAATGAACTTGTTGCGCTCTCTGCTGGACAAACTATGTAATGGACACTGTTATTAATCACCTGAAACATATTTTGGACATTTCTTATCGGTCACTTATTGGCTGCCATATCCACTGACACTGTCCAGGTCTAATGACAGCAACATTGCTGATGATCACTGCCCTGTCTGAGGAGAATCATGGGTAAGCTGTGAAGGACAGAACCTGCAGGTCGTTTTCCACTTGCTCAGGTAGATCAACTTCACAAACACATGAGCAAAAGCAACATGATCTGACCGACAGGCAGAGGTCACTACCGTGTGTGTGTGTGTGTGTGTGTGTGTGTGTGTGTATGTATGTGTGTGTGTGTGTCAGACTTACATCAATGAGGTGTTTGACCTCCTGTTTCTTGAGGTCACTGCTGATCTTAGCAGCCAATAGGATGCAGGCAGCTGACACCAGCTTCCTGTGAAACAACAACAACAACAGTTTAAGAAGCAGGACGTCCTTCTGCAGAGTGAAGCTGCCAGCAGCTACTTGACATGATATTTACAGATGGACCAGGAACAGGGTTGATGCATGTATCTGGAGCTCCACAGCTCGGTCTGAGTCACTGTTTAGAAACATTAAACTATATGAACAGGTAAAAACCCAAAGTACATTGCAGCATCTCCGTCCAAGATCAAAACAGAGTACATCAGAGCAGATTGTCTGTGGTCTGACATCTTTTACTGTATGACTCATACTGTGTGTGCAACTGACTGAGAACACTGAGCAGTGATGAAAAAACTACAGCCAATATGGCATCCCACCTGTATAATGTGATAACTGACTGATGGCTAGCCTGTCCAGGACCTTGAAATGAAAAGTGATTAAGCCAGCTTTACTAGTAGTTTAGTCCGTTTGTGAATGTCAGGGCCTTTTTCCCCATTGACAAATCGCTGTCATGTTCAAAAAGACTAATTTTATGCAACGTTTCCACTCTTCTAAAAATACACTATTGAAACCTTTCCTTTATGTGGTTTATGAGACGCTGAAGTTCTCACAGTCTGTGTTAATGCTCACGTACAAACAAAAAAGAGACGGTTTTGTTACTGCATATTTGTTGTGTCAAAGAACAGTATGGAGTTCAAGTGCACCTGCCATTTTTGAAACATCGAGACTAAATGCAGCTGTTGTGTCTCGTGTGGATGAGGTGTTGAAGTACCTGTTCTGTTTATTGAGTCGACCTTGCAGCACCAGCTTCTCAAAGTAGACAAACGCCATCGCTATGGTGACGGGCTGCAGGCCACAGTCCTCCCCAACTACTCTCATCTCTCTCTTCAGACTGAGACGCAGAGAGAACGGGTCACAAAGTCAGAGAGTTTCTAATATGATACGATGCCTTAATGGTGAATAAGAAAGTCTGCTCTCTGGTCACAGTAATAACAATGTCTCTTAAGATATTTAATTGATTTTATTCAAATACTTTACCTGCGTATTTTGCTGAGTGTGAGTTTTATGTGAGGAAACTTCTCCTTAAACGTCTCGTTCATGTCTTTCTTCAGATCAGACGGTTTGACGTATTCTATGACTGTGGTCTGATGGAAAAACGGAGACAAGAAAAGATAATGAAAGACAGAAAATGTAGAAAACAAGAGAGTGTTGGAGGAGAAGAAGAATGCATAAACAGAGGAGTGAAGAGATTTGTAGTCATGATAAAGTCAAAGCAGAGACATTTAAAAGTCAAACAATGGTCAGTGAATGTAAATCAACCTCATGAGGACACCTGTGTTATCTACTGCTTCACTCTGAGCACACACTGTCAACAGTACAGGCAGGTCTTTACAGCACAATACCTACTATACTGCTTGTGTATGTACAGTTTCACAACCTGAGGTAATTAAGGTTTAGTACTATGTCACAAATATGAATGAATATGTCATTAGCACTGGAAGTATTCACGACCTTAAACTGACATTAAGAGTATGGAGAGAAAACAGTGGGACTAGGTGCTGAATATTATATAATATAATATTCAAAGGGATAAAAAGGGTTCAGAGTACCTCTCCAAATTTCTCTGCAATCACAAGAATTTATTCTTATGTTGGCAAAAACAATTTTTTTTTTAAAATAAATAAATAAATAAATAAATAAATAAATAAATAAAGGAAATAAGAGACAGAGCAGAAAAAAAGTCCTTACTTCTTAAAAGACAAAAACCGACAGTTGCTAAATTCAAAAATATAATTACTAGACTTTAAAAACTGACATTAAGGCACAGTTCACTGAAAACTGCCAGGTCAGTGGGGAGGTCTGGTGCTGGTTGGCGTGGATGTTTAGGACTACAGGGGGCAGAATGGATAAAACACTACATCTACAACTAAGAGTCTGGGGGTAAACTTCGATACCGATTTAAATTTTGAAGCACACATTCAAAATGCCTTTTACCATTTAAACGCAGCCAAGATCTCATCATCTCTCTCAGAGGAAAGCTGTTTACAACTGATTCATGTTTCTGTTTACAGTTGTCTCGGTTACTGTAACTCTCTCTCTAATCCCCAAGAACCCGATCAAACATCTACAACTGCTACAAAACACTGCAGCCAGGACGCCACATATCACTCATATACAAAAATCTCTCAACTGGCTGAATGTACTGTAAACTATAGACCTGATGTCAAGGTTCTTATCGCTGTTTTTAAATGTGCAGTTTGTTTAAATCTTTAAGAACAAAACGTAAAACTCATCTGTTCATAAATGCTTTTACTTGGAAACTTTTACTATATTTCAACTTCACCTACAGTATTAATTGTCGTTTTATTCAACATTCATTTTATTCATTTTTAAATCTGACAAGTGACAAATTGATGTAAGAATGATAGAGAAATTTTTGCTAAAACACAGACACACACAGACACCCACACCCACACACAGCAATATAAGTGACAAAGCAGCCAACCTCAGACGTAATCTCTGATGAACTAAACGGTAATGATACAATGTGTGTGTGTGTGTGTGTGTGTGTGTGTGTCCATAGTCTTCAATTCAACTCAGTGGAGGGATAAAACTATGCTGCTGCCTATAAGATGATTACATTGATGTAAAAGAGTTGTGTGCTTGTATGCGTGTGTGTGTGTGTGTGTGTGTGTGTGTGTGTGTGTGTGTGTGTGTGTGTGTGTGTGTGTGAGCGCAGTGATTATGCCTAGTTCTATAATCCTCTAGCCTTCTTTTCTCTCCTCTTTATTTCCTCTCTGTCTCTCCTTCAGTTTTTCTTTCTGCTCCTTCCGTACTGTTTCTTAGAAGGTGGGAAATTAAAATTAAAATCATGGTGTAATTTAATCAAATTTTGGTCTGTAGTCTTTCAGCCACAAGAAGTCTCATTAAGATGAAGGTCATGTAGATAATTTCCATGCCTGCAAAAATCAGAACCACATCCTGAACTGAAACCAAAGGAGAGACACAAAACCACCACAATATATCACTGTTATCTGAAATGAGCTAAATGGTAAATTGCCGCATTCATGTAGTGATTTACAGTTTGCTCTCATTCAGCCGTTGACTCACTGCTGGTCTGACCATCAGGGGCAATTTGAGGTTCAGTGTGTTACACAGGGACACTTTGACTGAGCTGGGGATCGAACTGCCAACCCTGTGGACAACCTGCTCAACCTGCTGATGAACTGATCCCATCAACAAATCAACCAATATTGATCTTTCGAAAGATCAAACACCACAAACTGTTTCTTTGTGACTTGTGATATAAAACTGTTACTGATAAACCAGTTGACTGTGTCTGTACTGTGGCTCAATATTACTTCATAGCAGTAAAGCCATCTGTCTTCTGACACAGAGGACACTCACTGTGTCATCAACATGCACAGCTCTGGAGGGAGTGTGAAGGAGACACAGAGCTGTTTGATATTTCACTATATGATCAAACTGTAGAATATTTTTTAAGTCAGCAACTAAAACAAACAAAAAGTATCTTACCATGTAGGAGGCAAAGATCAGAACCCGCTTGTGTTTCCCACAAGGCCACTGGTGGTCACTGAGGAGGTTAGGGTCGTAGTCGGTCACATCGTCCACACCTGGACAACACACAACCACACACACACGCACAAACACACATCCGAAATCTGTTTTGTTAAAGGGTAAAACCTGAAGTGAGTAGATGTAGGTGTTATTTTTTTAAACTGTCCATTAAGAAGTGCAATGTTAAATCTTTGAACAATTCATCAATCAGGTAGGTAGTTTGAATATTTTGATTGATTTAATATATTTGTCTCTTATGCATGACATACACACAGATTTCTTAAGTAAGAGTTATATGTCATCAATGGATGTAAAGTAGCATTTTTGCTACAATCCAGCACGTTTATATTGGGTATTTTGTACTTATGTTCATTAACATGTATTATCCCTATCAAATAAACAAATGAAATAAATAAATTGTTTATAATTTACCTAAAAAACAAAGATAAAAACACACAAAACAAACTTTTAATTGAATAATCAAAGTCAAATATTCATAAAAAACGTTGCCAATAAAACATTTATTGCTGCAGTTTACTGCCCTGCTTTGTTTTTCTTCATATCTGCCAACACATAGGCCGATTTCTGGGATAATCTGATTTTATCCTGCCAATAAATTGCTCAGGCACTAATGACTTTCCCTGTTACACAAGGGAAACACATTGTATTTGGTAACTGGGTTAATAGTTCTGTCAGTAATTTCTGACTTGTTTAAGCCACAGACACATTGCAGGGTTTTTAATGTTAAGCTAATGCAAAAGTAGAAAACTAAAACAAACCTTGAGCCTGTTCAGTTTGTAGTTATGGTTTTATTCTTTGAACTTTGATCTACATAAACTGTGACTTCAGACTCTGACCTCAGTGTGTCATGATGTATCGAGACTTCGTGACATGTCAGGATTTCAGAACACAACTGTCAAGTTGACTGGTGTCTGTGGATATTGATCAAGGAGGTGAAGGCAGAGGGGTATGAATGTAACTGCAGGCCGACAAAGAATGAAAATACAGAAGAAGGACGTAACAAGAGGAAGAAGAAACAAACACAGGACGGAGGGATGAGGTAAGCGAGGAGGGATGAGGCAGTGAAAGGAAACAGAGTTCGTGCAGCTGTGCTACAGCATCGTCCTCTTTATATATTAAACACGCGTGTATACATATGTAGTGTACACCCTGTGTGTGTCACATCCTTTATCTATAAACACACACACACACACTGACAGAGCCCTGTATTAGCCTCTAAACCCCTCTCTAATCCGGAACCTTTCATTAACACAACACAGCTGTGCGAGTGCATTTGTCCGTGTGTGTGTGTGTGTTTTATAGAGTTACAAAACACGTGAAATAGAGAATGTGTGCACTGATGGCAGGTTTATATTTTTTTGTCTTTCTGTGACGTATCTCTTCCGTCTCTCAGGCTCAGCTCTCACAGCCGCCATCTATCTACCCATATGTCAGTGTCCAAACTGATCATTTGGTTTTGCTCAGAGTTATAAAACAGTGTGATGCCTTTAGCTTCACCACAACGTCAGGACTTCACAGATGCTGCATGCATTACAGGGCCCAGCTTGGTCAGTAAACAGCATGTAGCACCAACCTGTAGGGACATCACGGGGAGAAAAACAAGCACCCCGCTTCCCTCAACATCCTAAAAAACGCCACTATCCACCTCCAGCATGTTGTTATACACCATGGTTATTTGTAAATGAATGAACCAGGCTAGCTACACACAGTATGTAAGTGTTTATTACCTAGGTCCAGTCCCACAGTGCTGTTCAGCCTGCTAGGTGGATAACTCCTGCCCGGCATGCTGTGTGTGCTCCTGGACATGGGGATCTGCAGGGTCAGGTCACTGGCTGACGAAGGCTTCTGCCTCACCAGAGCGTTGGTGGGGTACAGGAACTGGGCGTACGACACCGACTGAGACATAAAGAGAGAAAGAGATGGAAGGAGGAGATGAATATAGGATTATATGAACACATTAAACTCCCTGGGATCATACCATCTGCCTGTGGGTGTAAACATGAGTGAGTGTGGGTGGTTGTTGCTTTATCTACCCTGCCATAGGTCTCCAACTGGAAGCCTTCTAGGCCCGGCAGCATCTCCAGGGTGGTGGAGATGTTTCCAGACGAGTGTCTCCTCCTTGGGTGGTTTAATGTGGGGTCACTACAGAGAGAGAGAGAGAGAGAGATAGAGCTTAGATATTTCCGATACCAATCAGTGCTACACGTCTATGAAGAGATGCAAGTGAGTAACAAATTGATCTGTTATTGATCTGTTATGTAAACTGTTACACAGATTGTCATTAAAAATATTGAAAATATCAGAGGATAAATCCTAATGCTCCTACTCCTTAAACTATCAGACCACAACTTTTCCAAACGTACACAAGAAAGAGCAAAATCCAGCTGTCAGAATTTAATCAAAAATACCGACCATATTCTTTTCCCCCACAGGATAAACCTTTTGCTTTTTGATCTTTCCTAGGGGGCTGCAATTAACAAAAGCAGTGAAAATGTCCATAACAGTTTTTTTTAAAGGCCAAAGTGAAATCTTCAAATTGCTATTTTTGTTCAACTAAAGGTCCAAAACCCAAAGATATTTACAATACTGTTTAAAAAGCAGCAAATCCTCACAAGCATCAAAGCTTTCTCGCAACTTTGCTTGAAAAATGACTTACATTCATCAATTATCAAAACAGATGCAGATTCACTTTCTGTTGGTCGACATTTTTAGCCTTGGTACATGGAACTCTCAAATCCTTGGCTGTAATGAACTTTGCAGCCTGTAGTAGCCGCTAGTGGAGCTTTGGATTTCTCTTCTTTCCGCTTGCCTGCAGCATTTTCAGGTGAAAGGGCGGGACGTGTGGTTCAGAGACACTCCTGTCACTAAAAGGTCACTTCCCACCACAACCACATGCTCGGCTGAAAACACTGAACTTTCAGTGTCAGACCGCAGCATCAGCTACAAGATAAAACTGGAACTGTGACGTGTGAGCTCACTTCCTCTTGCTCTGTAAGATTAGTGTTACTCAACTGCTGTGTGTGTGTGAATATGCACACTGTATGGTGTTCATGTATGTGCATGTAAGTAAGAGTCTGTGTGTGCGTGTTGATTACCTGAGGTAGAAGCTCTCTCCGTAGGGAAGAACAGAGAAGGCAGCACATAGAGACCTCTTAGCACAGATCAGCACAATCCTGAAACACAAACACACACATCTGTCCACATCTGTCCACATGACTCTGTTTACAGGTGAAAAAATAAAACCGCCGTCTTTGTCAAAAACCGACTCTGAAGTCAGTCAGGGAAATTACCTGAAAAGTAACCAACACTGACATTATGACTCTCCGTCCAACCTAATTTTAGTCGTATTCATGAATATTAATTAATCCCTTAATGCAAGCTGACACCTACCCTTTAACGACAGCATAGAATGTGAGTCGACAATCAGTCGAGTTGGCATATTTCCACCTGCAGCTGTAAGTGATGTAACTTACCCTGCGTGTCCAGTCAAACTCTGACAGGAAACGTGACTCAAATTTTGGAGAAATGCAGCAGATGAGAATGAGCTGACACAGAGAAAAAGACGTCATGTCAGTCGTGTGGCCACAGTTTGGCATCAGTCAACCTGATACAGGACAAAACTAAACGAAATGATTTATGGGAATTTCTGTTGGTGTGTGAGGTGAGTCAGGTGTGCCAGTCGTCACGGTGAAGTCAGGTTAGCATGAATATAAAAGTAAACATTCAGTATGAGCTACAGTTTATCAGAAACCAAATGCGACACTTTCTTGAGAATCAAGCAGAGCTCAGAGTTCAGTTTACCAGCAGCTGAATGCAGTGCCTCTATTTTAGCTACTGTATATGTTAAATACAAATAACTCAGTTACGATCCATAATTGTCAGTTTATTTTCAGTATGAGGAATTAATAAGAACTCCACTGTGAGGATGGAAAATCTTGTGCACAGGTCTATTTAATAAGATATTGTTTATTAGTCATTGCTGAGGTGAGTATGACAATTATTCATGGCCCAGCCCTACTCCAAAGCATGCTCTGTTGAAGGCATTTGAAGAGGTAAAAACTCCAGAGTAGAAAGACAGTAGGGAATTCTGGTAAAACTATACGTACTCCCCAGGTGCATGGAGGAGGGAAAAAGTCTGGAGGTAGAAACTCCAGTAATTCTTGTAGTGACAACTTTATTGTCAGACCAACACATTTTAGTGTGCAATAAAGTTGTTTTTTATACTACAAGTATTATAGTTTTACGTATAGTTTTCCTTCCTCTTGTTGGACAATAAATCTCAGAACTAAACAAAACTTCCTTCTTCACCTGGTGTTGAAATCTCAATCTTAACTTGATTCCTGCCTCCATCAGTAAGACTCTCCAGGAAACAAAAAAGCCTTTGATGACTAAAAAGGCATGTATTGCTAATCGTCAGACTGATTGTAAAAATCCCTTGTGTATTGTCAGGTTCCACACAAGAACACTGTACTGAAAACAAGCAAGACATGTGGTAGAAGCTCCCAGTTCTATATCTATCTATTTCTATTTTCAGTAGGTGTGAATAAAGCCCCGACACTGGCAGTGGGAGTGCTGATCAAATCTAAATAAATGTCATTGTTCCATGTTTTGGCAACACACACGAACACGCACTTTCCTAATTGACATAAGTGTCTGCACCTTTACCAGAGACTCTGCTTAACAATGTGTTGTAATGAGGTTTCAATGGAACAGAGAGGGTGTGTGTGTGTGTGTGTTTTTGTTTTTGTTGCGGGTCCTCTGGAGTATAAACCCCTGCAGAACAGCGTCGCTCGCCTGGTTTGTGTCTCAGAGGAAAAATGTTCACAGTCATTATCTTTGGAGGAAGCAAAGAGGCTGGAAAAAGTGTGTGAAAATATACACACACTTATCTCTGAGTTAATCATGTCTGCGATTAATTATTTACACTAGTCCCTGAGCAGCCACTGAGAGACCTCAAGTCACTGATCTTATGTTTCCTACAGCATAACAACATTAAAAACACAAAAGCCCACACACACAGTTGGAGCCCAGAGGCTGACCACTAAAATAAAATCCAGTCAACAGTAACAGAAGTAACATTTTTTTTTAGACAGTATACAGTATATAAAGATGGACGACATTACAGCTCCTCAAATGTGAAGCCAAAACATCTTGATCGCCTCCTGATGGCTGGTTGCAGTATAAACCCCGCCTCCTCCATGTTAGCCAATGGGACATAGTCAAATAAATTTTTCCCAAAGATGGTTTCTGTCATTTTAGGTATTTCATCAAGCTCTTTAAGTGTTCATTATTCTGATAAATTTGGTATTAATTAGTTGGTACATCAATCACATGATCTGTGATTGACTTGTGATTGGGTCGAGCAGGTGTAAGGGCTCGACTTGGATGCCGTGCCTCCACCCCCCTGATCACTACTGCGCACCCTGGCTCCAAATGACAACACCAGCGCAGGATGGCAGCGCACGTATCTGGGATATTTCAGCTTCATGTTTGTTCAATGGGAGGAAGTGGAGATGCGTCGTCCATCTTTATGTATGGTAATTGGTTCACACGGGCCTTTGACGTCAGCCTGTTGGACAGTATCTGATCTTTCAAACATGCAGCTGACGCTTTTATCTCTTATATACTGTAGTTTGTTTAGAAAGCCACACTGAAATAAACTTAATAAACAGCAGCTATTCCAAACACTTTGGTTCCTTTTATAGACATGACATGATCCTGGTCAAACGCCTACAGTTCATTTTTAATGAGGACCCAAAGGGTAAAGAATTTCAGTTGATTCTAAGCCTATTTTCTTTAGACAAGAGATAAATATATAGTTATCTGCTGTAGAATTGGACATAAAAAGTGAATAAACACTGAGAATGAATCATTACAACTTTATCACACACACATCTGTAAAAAAAAATGGACTGACCCCTTGTGTCCCTGCTGCTCCTCCTCCTCTGTCCATCCCATGAGACAGATTATGAATTTGGATTAAACGCGGTTTAACAACCACACACACACACACACACACACACACACACACACACACACACACACACACACACACACACACACACACACACACACACACACACACACACACAGCTTGTTCCCCATGATGCATGGGAAAGTCAAGAGCAGGAAGTCACCAGGGAGTTCAGTGGAAACAGCAGAAGCATCACAACAGATCTGCTGGAAATGTGACTCCTCTGAGGATTCTGTCTCCTTCACTCGTCCATTTATTACAACACATTTCATAACAGTGGGGGCAAATTATTCCATAATCACCTTCAGGAAAAATAAACAGCATTCCCACTGGGATCTGAACCCCTGACTCAGAGGTTGTAACTACTGAGCCACACACAGAACATCCCAAGAAGTTTTATTTTATTTATTTTTTTATTTATTAACTCTTTTAAATTGACCTTTAAATTAACTTAAGATGAGACCCAGATATTAACAGTGACCACTGACTTTATCTTAATAAGCTCTATGAAGGAAAGTTCATTGTCACAAAGGATATGCTGTAGAGCAGTGTTTTTTTAAACCCTAGGCTGTTTATGTTCAGTTCTCACTCCCTCTATTTACAGGCTTACAGCAGAGTAACAACAATGTCTAAACTCAGAATGCTATATGTTGTTGTTTTGGTTAGCCTACTCAGAAATACTATCATATGGCTCACAGAGTTTAAGTGCTACTTTACATGCTCTTGGTCAGTTTTTAATGGACAAAATTGTTTAAAATTTGGATTCTGAAAATAGTTCTTTGCCTTTTATGTCCACAGTTTACAATATAGCATAAATATTCAAATTCAGATCAGTAGAGGTTAGCATCAAGAACAAAGACGACGGGATAATCAGAGCCTTAGTTTTGTCAAAATAAGTACTGATACTATAAATCCATAAGAAGCTAATTTAATTCTTATTTCCAGACAGAAGATTCAAACACATTACTTTTGTTACCGTAGAAAAAGTCTAAATGTGGTGATTGCAAGACAAGATCTGTAGTTTGAATGTATATTTTCCGTTGATTCTGAGTGGATTTTTCCCAACAGATGACTGTGATACTGCGATCACTGAACAGAGGTCGTTCCACTCACTTTTACCAGTGTGTGTTTGACATCTGTACATTCTGGTTTGACTCATTTAGGACACTGACAAGGAGGAGCGCAACTTTTGATGCAAGATGCATCAATGCCGCGGTGCGTTGCCACTTTGGCAAACAAAATAAATTTCAGATTGTATATCTTTATTTACATTTGAATGATTTTCCAGCTGCACTGTGCTACTTTTACTATGAAAACCTGCAACAACGCTGGCAGCAGGTGGTTGATGGAAACACCAATACTGACATATTCATAACAACCACTTGGTGACCCATTCATAATCCTAGGTTGTGATCCAGGGGCTCAGCAGCAGCAGTTCTGAGGCACAACATTTACTTACATTAACTTTCAGTGTAAGCCACTCTATGACAACATGGAGACTTGGCTGAACTGCAAACAACAGCTCTGCTGCGCTTCACTGGATCTATTTTAAAACAATCAGCCCTGAGTGTATTATTATCTGATGTGCAGTCTTGCGTCCCTTTGACCCACAGGTCTGATTTATAAACCGTGCAAGGAAGGACAAGAATAGAATACAATAGAGGAAGAATTGAATTGAACAGAATGAAACTGTCCAGGCTCCACGAGCTAAACCAACAGCTCAGTTCCCTCCTGCTTTAGAGTGAAGGTGGGCTCACGCCTGCATGTCAGCTGCATATGTCAAGGTTAAAGAGAAGGAACTGTAATGGAAAAATCAGAGTTGCGGCCCCTAGTGTCCTTTAATAACATCATAAAAACAAACATTAACTTTAATAACTATAAAGAGCACATGAAATTGTTGAGGTTAGGAAAGATTGTTTGGATATTTTTTTCACTTAGATGTGTTCAAAATAACTTTCTAGGGCGTATTCTGATTGGACGCTCAACCATCAACCCCACAGCCCACTGTGATTGCACAATGGTGGACTGACTTATTGCTGAGAGTGTGACTCTCATTAGGGTTATAAAAAGGACCTGTAGGCTTAAAGTAACAGTTCTAGCACCCTGTATTCCTGCAGAACCCATGAATGTTTTTTTGAGAGAGCTCAGCAGGAACAGGTGTCAGGGTCAAAAACAGTTGCTACTATTGTTTAAACTGGCTGTCTTGTTTTTTCCAATGCCATAGAAAATGCACAAACCTAAAGCCTAAGCCCACTGTCCTGACCTTGTGTTGTTCTGTAACTCTACACGCTGTGAACAGCAGAGCTCAACACGCTGCTGAATGCTATCTACACCTGGACAAAGATTTGGCTGGAGCAGTGGGACAATGTGATATATGCCACTTTCAACTTGTACCTTTATCATTAGCGTCCTTCAGGGGAAAGTTGTCTTACAGTGAGGTGAAACACAGAACACAGTTAAACATAACACACTTAAAAACATAATGAAAAGTAGAAATGAAACAAAATAAAACCGACCACTTTGCAGCCAGACAAGAACTGGTAAGAACTTTAAAAAGTTTATTTTTACTCTTCAATATTAAACTCTTTTTTCTCGTCTGTAAACCTGTGTGTGTGTCTCACCTGCTGCCTCTCGTGTCGTACTGTTTCATGTTTTTGATGAAGTGTATCTTCTTCGTGTGTCGAGGTTTGGGAGAACCACCAGAGAGGTTACGAGTCCTGAGAGAGAGAGAGCGAGAGAGAGAGAGAGAGAGAGAGAGAGAGAGAGAAAAAGAGACACAGAGATTAATGATGGGTAGCGCTTTCAATTCAGTAAATCATGAATGGGACTCACTCTCACAGAGACACAAGAAATTAAGCCTGACATATAAAACATATATGTAAGGAATGTGTTAGATACCAAAACAACAGTATAGAAATATTTCTCTTTCAGAAAGCTTTCTTATTACTGGTGTTAGGATGACAAAGCTGCTTTAACATGAACCCACACACATTTACCCCCTAGTCTGTTACTGTAACCTGCAAAGAAATTACAGAGCAAAATTTTTAGGGAATTTTGAAATATTCAATCCTTCACATGTTTAAAAAAATGTTATTGTTTGTAATTCTTTGTTTCAAAGCTTCCAAAAATCTGCTGATTTGTGACGCCAAAGCTCAAGTTGTGTGTGTGTGTGTCTGCTGAAGGTCAGGCTGTGAGCCAGTTTGTGTTGCTGTGTCGACCTCGTGGATTAAAACAACAGACGTCGACATGAAAGCAGGCCAAGGAGCTCAGCTCACTGACATCACAGTGGTTACATAACATTACTGACATCAGCATTAGTCTTAGATGCACACGCAGAAACACACACACAATGCACGAACTGTAATTGCATGTTATTCACAGCGTGCATTTAGAGGTCCATACTCACATTTATATATAGGACACATGCATAATCTCATGGCACATAAACACATGCAGCAGATTCTCCACACAGCCCTTCAGCATATTTTTGCAAGCATACAACACACACACACACACACACACACACACGCACGGACATACGTATGTACGTACGTTTGTCTTATACTTCTCACATACTGTAAACACACTGAAGAGGTTAGCATAGATGTTACTATAGCATAAGTTCTATCAGAACTCTCTTCAGCAAGAGTTTAATACTCTGGTCACAGAAAAATGGGAAGGATGATCTGATTGGTTGACATTAGCCTGTGATGGACATATGGTTCATCCAATCACCTGCAGAGTATTTTTTGGAAGCACCTCCTCTTTTCCAATCAGTTTTCATTCAAAGACTTCAACAGATGGTTCTGTGTAATAGGCTACTGAACATAAGCTGTAACACAATTACAGCAGGCAATCACCTACCAATCACAGAGGGGGCACATGGCGCCACACACAATTCATTATTTACACAACCTTGCATTGAACAACAGGCGGTTAAGAGCTTGGCACAAGGTCGGCATCAAGGAAGAAAACCATTGATCATACATTGGCACAAAACTGCAGATTAAACTTCAAAAGAACATGAAAAATGGCTGATGAATGTTGGCAGCTCATTCTTTGGTCGGATGAAACCAAAATTTATTTGTTTGGATCAGATGTGGTCCAGCAGGTTTGGTGTGGACCTGGTCATGACTACCGCAGTGACTGCATAGGGCCCAGGGCATAGGGCAACTCTAACACCATGCAGGTGGAGTGTGCAAGACCTGACAAAGATCTCTCTCAGATCAAACGTTGCTTGATTAAAAATTACTAAGATAAATTAAAAACACACATCATTTCATATCAAACAGAATCTCAGACATCTTCCCTCTTTACAATACTGATACTATAATCAAAACATCACCAGGCTCTGCGTAAAGGACAATATGACAACATAACATATAGTTTTAAACAGAGCAAATATTTAACACACATGCACAAAGCAGATCTGAGCCATAAGCCCCTGGAGGTAAGCAGAACACTAAGACCTGCTGAGAAGCTGTTACACAACTGTGAACACACACACATACATATACACACACACAAAGACACATACTAACACACATACATAGAGGGAGAGACACAAAAACACACACACATAGCATCTGTTACTGTTTTTTTTAAATATTCTTTTTATGGCTGACTGAACAATTCCACACCACATGGAGTTTACATCACTGTTTATCACTGCTGCTCACTACGTGACCCTGTGACCTTCCTACTGTCAGCCCTCAGTTCTCAGAACAATGGTGTACAGCAGATGTTTGATATGTGTTATGTAGTAATAACATCTGGGTTAGTTAGATGCGTCTCCTTGTTCAGTCACATTGAGATTCAGGCTCGAACAGAATGTTCTGCCCTCTGCTGGCCCTTTAACATTCCACCTAAAAACACTATTCACACGCTTCTTGTCAATGTATCTATCTATAGTCCAAATGAAACAGGATATTCCACCTAAATACTTTACTTCTTTAAAACAGCCATTGATGATACATATCTTAAATTCTTGCCTACATGTAGTTGTTTGAATTATTGTACCAATTCACTTTATTCACATTCTGATTTTCCACATTACGGTGGTGTCATGATTTAATACATAATGCAGCAGTAGAAAGGGGTGTGTAAGAATCTGTTTTACATTTACATTTTCTCCCCTGCACAGAAAAGTACAGAGCAGCTGGTGTCTTTTTCAGAAGCTCTGCACCGGGCTCCTGCAGCACGTTTGGTGCGAGAATTTTCACACTGGTTCAACTCCAGACAAACCCAATCAGCTACTCCACTCCACTGCACCTCTGAGCTGGTTTGCAAACACTCAGATTTGATCTCCTTCATGTTGCCGGCCTTGGCTTGCACACAGACACAAGTGGCACCATTTGTTTGTTTTTAAAACCATAAGATTATGTTAATCACATTGTCATATTTGTTATTGCTAATGCAATACAATTTGAATTTAGCTCTGTTGCGCTGTTGGCACAGGTTGCTGATGTAGGCTCCTAGAAACATGATGTCGTCATGGCAAATATTGGTTGAGCCAAAAATCAAAGATAAAATCAAACTGATTTAAGTTCTTACACCAGACCAGATCAGAGCGGCAAAACCACCTCTACTCTTCACTAGACCTGGTTCTGTATGGAACAGAGCCTGAGTAATCCTCCTCCCCAATCTACAGGCCATTAGCAGAATGAAACATCAGCATGTGAATGTCTGATTTTGGTCTTTCTGAATCAACGACTGATTGTTTCTTTTTAGAGCTGCCATTTTGTTCTGACATTTAGTAGTTTGTGTTTCTGTGGATTTCTCATTGGTGTCGTGTGAAGCACAGCTCTGTGTCAAGGCTTTGCTCTTTATCCGAACAACCTGGTAAGTTACCACTGCATTGTTCTTTTTATCTGTCAGTTGGAATAAACCAAGCAAAACGTCACGCTCCTGTTTCCAAAATGTATAACAATCCTGATTCTATTTGGTTTCTATTAGTGTTCTGGGAAGTATGTTCAGACAGAATGAGAGACAAGTGTCCTGATGGAAACTGAGCAGAGATTCTATTTAATCACTACATCCTTCCGACCTATAAATACGCCGAACACCACAAACACCGCAGAGATGATGCCAACAGTGTCACTGTACTGAAATGTAGATTTTCAGCTGTTCCAGTAAAGATGTTGACCAGTCGGCCTCGTCTGGTTCTAAATAAAGATTTAAAATAAAAATATTCTGACCACAACAGCCTCAGCTGTCAATGATCCAGTATTATTAAACCAAACAGTCTATTTCTGATGACTCCATCCCTGGTATCTGCTGTAATATCACAGTCACATGATGGAATCTTCTCAGCGTTCCATTTCCATGGGAACCATCATTCTGCAGCATTCCGGAATGTTATGGAATGTTTCTATTGTGTGGGAATCGAGCACGCTCGCCAATGCCCCTGATGGAGATGGAGGAGGATGAGGATGAGGATGATGATAATTAAGATAAAGACAAATATGACCACAATGATTGACACGGTGAGACACAGACACACTTAGAGTCACATGTTTGATTCTCATTACAGCCAACACACCGGTCTCTTCTGAAGTGCCTTTGAGCCTGACAATGCTGCACCCTGACGCTCTGTCTGACTGTGTAACATGCTCAGATAACAAAAGGATACTTACTTGGATACTTCGCTTTGAGGAAACATGTTGAGTTCTCAAATGTTAAACAGGTTTGATTAGCTCACTAAAATACTGTACAACATCAAGAAAAATACAATCAACACAGAGAATCAAAACATCAATAGACAACAAAATAGCACAACAAAACAAGCAAGCAAATCAAATGAGGGAGATGGGGCAAATTGGCAAAATTATTATTTAAATCAGAAACTATCTGAAGGTAAACAAGATCACAGACATTCTTTACAAGCTTTACTTGGACACAAAGACACATTTTGGGCTGTACCAAAAAAGTCCTGAGGTTTGATGCCCAACCACTCTCACAAGGTCACATGGCTGGATAATGAGCAGTGTTATTCAGTGGTGCAGTAATGACAGTAGTTACCTGATCTCATGATTGACAGCTACAAATAATAATCAGGACTTAACAACATGTTTGGATGGAGCACAAACAAACCCAAACACACAATTATGATCATAAATGATGAGTTTATTATGACAAATGCTTCACTGTCACGACAAACAGCTGTGTTAGTTATCTTTAGATTTTTTTCTCAGCTCTGAGGTTTCAGTTGAGAAAACAAACAATATCTCGATAAGAGTGTGATTGCTGATGCCAGCACTCTCCCAGTCCTTCTAAATCTGTCCCAGTATCTGAGCTGTGGATCTGCAGACTCATTATCACAACGGTCTGACCAGCGACCCATTTCCATGAGAACCAGTCAGCTCCATCTCTCCGGGATTTGGTGGAAAGTTTCCGTTCTGTGGGAACGGAAAAATCCAGTGTCCCATTTCCCTTGCTGCTGAGGATGAGGATGATGATCTGTGTTTTGATAAAGATACATACTGGTGGCATGTTCAATAATACACTGGGGGTTCAGATGGGCTGTATCTTTAAAACATGTTTACTGTCACTGAGGGAAACGAACCAGTAACCCCCTTCAGCAAAAGGACGCCATAACTCCACTACTTTCCACAAAGGTTATTTTCTAGATTCCATTTCAGCCAAAAACAAATTCAGATGGGTTCAGATAATCTACTTTTAGACATGTTTAGCTGCTTGTATTTTAGATTCTCTGGGA